AAGCCGCGATTATTTTAATCGCGGCTTCATTTCCCTCTGCCGATCTGGCTAATCTACATGCCTCCGTCGAAGGAGGCATGTAGTCTAGACACACCCTCAGTGAGTAACATACAAATACAAATTCCTCCCACCCCAACCATTCCCTGTCCCTACAGTAAAAACTATCCCGGTCCTGCTGCACTTACAAGTGCTGGGGGAAATGTGAGTGGGGCAAAGAGCACCAAGGTCTGTCAGAGTCAATATAATCAATTCACAGACACTTACCTTCCTTCCTTCCCCCCCCCCCCCCCATCCCCCTCCTGTTCTGCAATGTGATTTGTCCTTTTCATATTTGTTCATTTTTTTAATTGTATCCCTTGGTATATATGGTTGTGACTACTTTCTTCCACTATTTGATCTGAGGAAGTGGGTCTGGCCCACGAAAGCTCATCACCTAATAAACCATCTTGTTAGTCTTTAAAGTGCTACATTGTCCTGCATTTTGTGTCAGAGTCTGACTATTTTGACCAGTAGGGTGAGCAAACCCCAGAGCAGCGCAGGCCAAGGGATGGAATTTCCACTTTTTTTTTTAATTCACAATTTTTGTTTTGTGGGAAACTTTACCTGGAGATTTTAATCAGTGAACCAAGCGGATTTTCCAGTTGTTGTTTCCCCGCCCTCTCCCCTCAACCTGTTTCTTTTTTTTCCATGGCCGGCAGAGGAAGGAAGAGAAAAGCAGGAAAAACCTAGAAAAGAATAAATAATTTGACCCCAAAAGTCATTTTTTCATCCACAACTTGCTTCAGTGAAATGTTTTCAGGAGGGTCAGTCGCAAAGCCATGGGGCCCGCCCAGACAGCCGCTGCCACAGGCCTCCTCTCGCCCAAACCCCTCTGGCAAAGGGGGGCTTTGCACAGCTGACGTGCCCTTGCCCACAGCCTGGCTCTCCCACCCCTGCCCCTCACTTTTCCTCCTGGCGGCTGGCGGGCACCGCAGCAGGCTGGGTCCATTCCTGGGCGGGACGAGCTGGAGACTGTTTGCTGATGGTACTAACGGCGTGTTCAGAAATCAAACGCAAACGAGCCCCCAGGGAGCAGCAGGGGCTGGGCCGGAGGAGGGCACGTGGGGGAAGGGGTGCAGTCGGCTGGGGGGAGCTCAGAATGCTCGTTCCGAGTGTGACTCAGTGGCCCTCCACACCCATGCAACCGTGGCAGCCTGTTGCTAACGGTTACCCGGACATAGAATCCGGCCACTGTCCCGGCTCCTGCAGGCTGGACCATGAGCGCCCTGGGGCCTCCCCTCCGGGCCAGGCGTGATTGAGCCCCACAAGTTCGGAGGCTCCCCTGGGCTGCCTGGGGGGTAGGGGTGCAGCAGCACAGATTGCAGGGAAGTCACCCCCATTATTCTACTCAGCCTGACTGAGAGCAAGGCTGCAAAGACTCCAGGCGCACGCGCCGTAACGCTTACAACAAACAGCTCAGCCACAGGCCCGGCGCCCCTCCGGCTAGCCCGGCTCCGTGAGTCTGGCTCTAAGCCGCCTGCCCTCTGCCCATGAACCAGCACTCTGCCTCCACTCGGAGCAGGCAGCGCTAACGTGTTTCCTGCTCTGCACAGCACCACGTCCCTGCACGGCACGGTAGTGCAGGCTGCTGACACCGCTCGTGTGAACAGAACACGCGGGGCACGACAGTGCACCATGGCGACGTCCCTCGTCTAGGTAATCCATCGGGCTGCCCGGCGCAGGCCGGCACGCCCAGCTCTAGCTAGGTCAGATAGCTGGGTTCCTCCTGCCGAGCCGGAGATTGTCAGAGCCCAGGCTGCGTGTGCGGACGTCGGTCCTTCCGCGTGCCTGTGAAAAGCCCCAGGAGCAGGAAAGGGGGCAGCAGTGAACCGTGTTTGGAAGAGCCCGGTGGCATGCGCCGATACAGGGCTTGGCATCCCGGCCCTCTGAGCTGCGTTACCCGCTCACGTCACCGCAGGCAGCCAGAGGCCTTGTTGATCCAGCACCTGTAACTGAAACCGCCTCCGCTTGCGGCGGCCGGGCAGCCAGGCCTTTGTCCTCACGGTGCCTCTGTTCCCGGTAGGCCCCGTCTGACAGGAGCCCATAAATGGAGGTGACATTTGGAAAGGTCAGGAGCAGCTTAGCAAACAGGAGCGTCACTCAGCGAGCACAGGAGGGGAAAGCAAATCTCTCTGGAATGCCTGGTGGCTGCGCGCAAGGGTGGCGCTGACGTTGGCCTGCAGCTTGGCCAGGCGGCGCGCAGCTGAAACGCTGCGGGAGGTGCCTCGCGCCGTACTCGGCGATGTTACCTGAGCTGAGCAGCGGCTCCCGCCCGGCCACCGGAGAACGCCTCGAGCTCCTTTCCTCCTGCGCACCTGCCTGTCTTCTGGCGCCTTCTGGAACACGATGCCATTGCTCTACGGCAGCCCCGGGCCTGCCCCAGCCACAGAGCTCAGGGAGTGCATCTCACTTTCAGAGAGCTCAGCCAGTCTGCCTGTGCAGCTCCCTCCTCAGGGACCCCTGAGCCTCATTTGTCTAAAGGCAGACGCTGCGGTCCAGTGAGAAGAGTACCCGTGTTACCTGGGGAAGGGCAGCCCCCAGTCTGTGCCCCCCTTATTCCTCATCTGGGAATGGGGATGTCTATTGTACCGCCGCTCTGCAGAGGCAGCAGCCATCTTGTTCTCAGAGATGCAGCCACCTGTCACCTCTTGCATGCGCTCGGCTCTCTGCAAGGGCACGTCTGCACTAGGAAACCATTTCGAAATAACTAAAATCGATGTAATAACGCCCGAAATAACAAATTGAGGTAGCGTGGGAAAAGCCTGGTGGCTGTAGCAGCCTGAAGAAGCAATTCAGATAGATTTGTTTGGATACATTTAATTACACTGACCATGTAGATAAGATAACCTCATTTCTAGTACAGGCTGGAGTTTGTTCACTAGCACATAACTGAGTTATTTGCACACACAAGTGTGTGTACACAAGTGTACAAACAATACGCACAAGTGCACACAAAAACACTTCGAAATTAGTCTGAGGCAGGCTCCATTACCTTGACTTAGATGAACCTTGGCTTAGAGCCCCGGGAAGCACTGGGGGTAATTAGTTTGAATTACTTCTAGGGAGTCATTATTTCAAAATAGTGGCACCAGAGCATCTATTTCTATTTTGAAATTAGCGTTATTCCTCGAGGAAAGCAGGAGTACAGATTTTGAAATAACGGGCCTGATAGCGTGGACACTTTGCTCATAAATTCGACGTAAGAGGGGTTATTTTGAAATAAGGCCTTAGTGTAGACCAGGGCCAAGAGACTTTACTTTTGTTGTTTCTTGTTTTGATTTTTTCCTTAACTGAACATGGGACTAGCTCAGTGTGAAAGGCGGTGGCCCTGTGTGTCCAGAGAAAGATGGCAGCTCCAGCTTCTGCTGTTGTACCACAAAGACAACCTGTCTCTCTGTCTTCTGCCGCTTTCATTTCCACTGCTAGAGGGACCAGGGCCGGATTAAGGCATGGGCTAGCCGGGCAGCTGCCCGGGGCACCAACCTAAGGGGGGTGCCTGATGGCAGCTGTAAGGGGTGCACAGCGCTCCTTATAGCTGCCATCAGGCACCGTGCACCTGGCTCCCGGATCGTGAGCTGTAGCAGCTCCCAGTAGCCACCCAGCAGCGGCTGCCCAGGGTGGGGACCACGTTAACCCCCGCAGCGCCAGCCAGCAGCGCCCTTCCCCCAGCGGGCCGGGCACATGCGTCCTGCGGCCACCAGCTCTGTGAGCCCTCCCCCACATGCCAGGTGGGGGAGGGGCCATGCATGCATCCTCCCCCAATCTGGGGCGCAATGAAACTGTCTGCCTGGGGCGGCGGAATGGCTCGGGCCGGCCCTGAGAGTGAATGCAGACATGTGGAGAACAGCCCGACGGGCTGGGGTGGTGGCGGCTGAAGTTATCTGCTTTTATACAAACACACGTTCTGAGGGCGCAGAGGAGGCTTGTGTCAGGGCTGGCTGGAGCCTGGCGAGGGTTAGAAGGGGTCCGTAGGGCGCTGGTTTAATCCGGATGGGCTTGCCATGGGAGCGCTAGGCTGTTGCCTGGTGACACCATCCTGGGAAGCGTCATCTCCAGCTGGCAGGATCGCTGGGAATAGCTTCCTGGGGCCACAGAATCAGCATTTCCCAGAGAGCGCCAGCCCTGGCTCTGCTCTCCGGGAAGGGGGCTGGTGCCATCGGGGGTGCTGGAGGGACGGTCTGAGCACAGTCACACTCCACTCCCAGGGGGCTGTGAGCCCATCGCCTCCAGCAGGCCGGGTAAGCAGACGTGCTGCACTCGCCTCCCTGCCTCGCAGGCTGGTCCGCACGTGGCTGCGAAGACCTGCCCGCCTGCCGCTCCGCGCAGGACTCGTCCTCTCCTGGACTGTCCCCTCTGGACGGTGCCTAAGCCCAGAGGAGGGCTGTGAGCAGCACTAGGCCTTGTGCCCTGGGGTGAATTTAACCCTTTGGGCCCAGCTCGATCACCTCCCCTGCACCGCTAGCAGACCGGGAGGTGCCTCTGGCTTCATTCCCCGGCTTCAAGCAGCCACCACCCGCCCCTCCCCCAGGGTTGATTCTCCTGGACTGAAAACGCCTGGGGGGTAAAGCACTTGGGGAGAGAGCGGGACAGCTCCCTCCAGGTCCTTCCGTCCTTCCAGCCACCGTGCAAAGCACTGGAACCCGAACGGCTGTGCCCCTCCCCCCGGGGTGGCTTTCCCCCAGGACAGCTCTGGCCGGTTTGCCCTTTCCTCAAGCCACGCATGCCAGACCAGCTGGAGCCACAGCTTCCGAGACAGGAGCAATGAGCTGGTGGTTAGGGCGCTAGCTCGGACCTTAGAAGAGCTGCGCTCAGTTTCTGGGTCTGCCACAGACTGCCTGCATCACCTTGGGCAAGACACTTAGGATCACTGAGGTCAATGCTATTTGGTGCCTGACTCCCATTGAGATCCATGGACAGTAGGTTCCCTAAATCCCTGGGAGGATCGGCGCCTTACCGCTTAGTGGAGTGAAGAGCATTTCTCTGCCTCTTGCTGGCTTCCGAGGGGGAGCCTTGGTAGTCTGTAACCGGAAAAACGTAAAAAAACAAATAGTCTTTCAGCACCTTCGATTCTAACAGACATGTGGCTGAATCGTGAGCTTTCGTGGGCACAACCCACTTCGTCAGAGGACCGGAGTCCGAGGGGTGGTCTAGTTTTCAAATAAATAACACAGAGCAGGATGGGAGGTGGGGGGACAGGCGGGGAAAAGGAGGAAGAATTGGCCAGTCAGCGTGTCCATGCTACATGACGCTGATAACAAGACGTAGAGAAGAATTCTGGCGGGGCTGGGAGCCGGCCTGCAATCGCTGCTGGACACACGCCGGTGCATTGGCGCAGGGGCTCATAAGCAGAAGACAGATGGTTCAACCCACTCTGGCCTCTTCCTCTCCTCCTGCAGGACTCCGTCAGCACACACAAGCTGCACCGATTTAACAAAACGGGGGCTCGCTCCTTGTGGCCACACGGATCTTGGTGTCTGATGCTCAGTTCAGATTGGCCAGGGCAAGCTATGCCGATACAAACCAGCTTTAAATTGATTTAGCGTCCACCCAGGATTTCCACTGGGCTAATTAACCAGGTCCGAAGCCCACATTGCCAGTGTCAAGTGAGCATGTGGACCAGGCCCCAGCAGGCGACTGGGGTAAGAAGCTGACTGTCTCTTGCTGGACTGGCCCACCCCGTCTGCCGGGCCACTGGAAGAACCAGACGCACCGTCTCCTTTGTGGCCAGAGCGGCTCTGACCTGTGTGTGCGACTGGGCGCAGTCGCTGGGCGCTTGTTTTCATGCATCCCGCCGCCAGCTAATGGCACATCGCTGCCTCTGCCCTAGTTGGCAGGGTCCTCTCCAGTTCTCAGCTCCCCTTTCAAACCATACAGCCTCTTTCAAAACCAAATCCCCTTCCAGGGATTCAGGGAGGCTGCTGTGCCAGAAACCACCCCACCTCTGGGGCTGACTGGTTCGCAGGGCACCTCAGCCCCGCTGCAGGAGAGAGGCAACAGCACCACCTGATGGAACGGCTGCAAAACCCTGGGCCACCCAGGCAGATAGCCCTGAGATAGACCCAGAGCAGGGAGAGCGCACTGCAGCTGGCAAAGCAGAGG